GTCAAGTGCTGAAAATCAGCAGAAGATTGAGCTCTCTAACCAAAGAACATAGGTAAATAATATTGTGAATGAAAATATTTGCTTTAATAGATATTTTTGTGTACCTAGTGAAATGTGTAAATATAATGATGAAATACTTTGTATCCAACTTCTCTTCTCTGAAAACTGTACATAATTTCTATAGTTATCTGCAAAAATCAAATGAAATACCCACCCCTGCCAAAACAAACTCCAATCCCGGCCAGTTTTTAGCTGTAACTTTGTCTTTACACAAAATCACTTCTGTCTGTGGGGATTTCACAGGAAAGAGGGGAAATCCAGGGAGCAGAATGTTTTTTTCTTTCCCTTGGCTTTTCAGTTCTGCCCTTAGTCCTTGTGTGCTTCGGAACAAAGCAAAATTAGATGCTGATGCTGCATCAGTCACTTCGGAAGGGCTTTGCATAGGCAAACGATCTGTCCTGGGAATCAGATCATAGGATCCCAACTTGACCCTCACCTGAGGGGCTTGCTGTGGGCTTTTGTAAAAGGAACCTTTTCATAAGAGGGCTCCTGCACTTCTCTATTAGTACTCAGTTACAAGACCTTGTACTTAAAAGAGATGTTTCAGCCAGAACAGCTTTCTCCAAGATACACCAGTGAGGCTCACCTGACCTCCAGCAACAAAATCAGGAATACATTAGAGATATTCTAAAGTTACAGTTACCCATCTTTCCTGACACTGCCTTATGTTCTGCTATGACTATGGCTGAATAAGACCTAAACATTTAACCTGGTGGCTGCCTCAGCCGGTCTGCTTTTTCACTTTAATCACACACCCAGTTATCCATGAAAATCACTTCAACTAATCAATAGGTAATGTCCAAGTTGACAGAAAAGACTTTTGGCAGCATGTTTTGAAAGTTTTAAGGTTAAGTCTCAAAAATAAATGAACTGTCCCATTCATCTTTTCTGTTCTGACTAGTTATATTTAAAATGATGCCAGTAACTCTCTTGCCACAGGGCTTTATCTTAATGTTATCTCTTTCTCTTCAATGTAACAGAACACTTAGATAAATGCGGATAATCAGTATTTGATATGACATCTCAGTATTTTGTTTCTTATGGTGCTTTTGAAAGAGACACTGGGCGATATGGTGAAACCACCAGACTATATGGAGAAGGGAAATTAGACTGGTGTCGTTATGGCTGCCTCTTTGGTTTCACTTTGTAGAATAGGTAGAACCCTCTGCCTGGTAGTTTAAAAATATGACTTTTTTTCTCCTACTCCCATATAAATATTAGGGGTGAAAGCCAACATCACTTTTGGAGACATATACTGTGTGTTATTATCAAAACGAGATTTCTTTAAAACAGATATAAAAGATGAATGCCCTTGGAATGGACCTTCTGGCTGTAACTCTTAGCACATTGCATAAGCTGCCATCAAAAGATTCTTACACTAATGATCTACGGGAAACTAAACACTAATGAAATGTCAAGTGATGAATTTCCATATAATAGATTACATTATAAAAATTCTGCAAATATGCTGCTGCCTAGCAAGATATCTGTAGACCTCAGGCTTTATTTATCACACATTGCTACTTAAAATATGCTTCATTATTGGGAGGCTGATAAATAATAGTACCAAAAAGTGAATATCAATCTCTTATTTCATCAAATATATGGCAAGTTATAAAGAATAAGAAGGCTGCACATACACAGATCCTTATTACAGGAGCTACTCACACTGCTAGAGAGGACGTGCACAGTATTAGGATGAGAAAAAACAGAAATCTCCTTGTACTTCTGAGCCTCATTAAGAATTAGGCTGAAAATAAAGCATTTAACTTCAGTGTCAGGAATAAGGCTTTTGTCTTTAAGATACAATACTTTGTGGGGAAAATCTGTCATTAGCACTCTGGGCAGCCTAGAATTGTCTCAAACTAAATAATATAACGTGAGTGCCCTATTCAGATGTAAGATCCAGCTCAAAGCCATTCAGGAACGGAAGCTGGATGGTCTCCAACACCTCTTAATGCACAAGCTCTCAGGGACATTCTCAGACAAGTTGTTGAAATGAGAGTTAACACTACGGATGACAAGACTGCAGAGCTACCTGAATCCCAAATGAAGTTATCATCTCAGCTGCATCAGCATGCAAGGGGCAGGCTGGAGGTACACTCAGGGCTTGCTTTGATCTGAGATTCACCCTCAGGGCGTTGTAAGGACAAACTGGATCACCTTATCCAGCTCAAGGGCCTTAGGTACTGGCAAAACAGGGTGGGCGACTCAGTGGCTAATTGCAAATGCTCCCTCCCTTTGTGGGCCCAGGATGCACGCCGCGGACTGCGGCAGGGCCAGATGCCAAGCGCAGCAATTAAACTAACTTCCCGGAGTCACTGAAAATGTGCCTCAGTTGTGCAAGTGAGGACTGCTGGGGCAACTCAATAGTTTCTTCTTTTTCCTCTTGTACCTCTCCAAACATCTGTTTTTGCACAGGGTGTTCTCTTCAGAGCTCTTAAATGACTAGAGATTTTTTCCCTTACCTTGGAAAATATTGCTATTCAATATTGTAAACATTTAGTGAATTTAGAGGCTCACTTCTTTTTCCTCTTCAGGTTTTTCCAAAGCAAATACCATAACTCTCATGTGTGCTCAGATTTGCTCAAATAAATCAATTGATTTATGATGTTCTTTAATTTGTTCCATACTTTTGTGGATGAGAATAAGAATTCTACTCATGAATCAAAGATTGAAGGTCCCAATGTTTGAAGGCTGAGAAAAGGACAGGGATCTGCTTAATCCACTCTGTGAATGATACATATTTAAATTTGTTTGCTGGTTTCTCTAAAAAAGCGGAATTACCTTTTTCTGATCTTTCAGGAACTAAAGAAGTGGTGGTTAACGTAGATGATGATGGAGTCATTTCTTTGAACTTTGAATGTGATCAGATGTCTCCAAACTCTAAGTTTGTTTGGTCGAAGAACTATGAACCAATTGAGGATGACTCTCGACTGGACATTGATACGAAAGGCGGAAAGTAAGATCTCTTGGTGGTAACGCTAGTCTCATTTTTGCAAATTCTAGGATGGTCACCGAAATCCATCCTTTTGGGTGTAAGGCCTCAGTAAGAATTGTATCTGACTTTGTTGCTGAAAGGTTGCTTTATGCGCATGCCGTTCTCCTGCAAGTCTGTACGCAGACCATTTGGAAACTGTAGCACACATAGAATGAGTCAGGCCTCCTGTTAGGGCCATGCTTTATAGGGAGAGGACACGTTCTCTGTCATCTTGTAAGCTGTTAACCAGGGCAGACTATTATTATTACTATTTTGAATCTCTGAAGGCTGAAATCGTTTGGCGGCTTGCAAAACGCTTTCATCATGTAACAACTGTTGCAATCTTCTGAGGTGCTGGAGTAAGCAGTACTCTATTTTGATCGAGTCTCCATATCCTGGATTGGATATGGAAGTCTCTGCAAGACTTATCTGTTTCTTCAGGCTTTTATCAGAGAGGAAGAAATGGTAAATACACAGGTTCAGCCTACAAAGTAGCTATGTGCCCTGCCAGTTACAGAAACCATACAGCTCACAACACTCTCTTGATATAGCATATGAAAATTGAATTATAGGATGCTTCCATGCTCATCAAAGATGTGACAAAGTTTTTTTTAGGCATACTTGAACTAGCTTAAACTGCTTAGCTCCAGTACTGTTGGCAGCAAGAGAGGCTTCCCTTTCCCAAAAAAGGCTGTGCAGCTCGTGCCCAGATCTGTGCTGCTACCCTTGCAAAGGCAACCTTCACTCTCATGGTGCTATGGATGTTCCTGGTTCTCTCTTCCCTCTCTGCTTCACTGACAGAGTCCACATAAACTAGATAAATAGGCTGTGCTATCTCCATTTATAATACACATGGCATGAACATACCCTTCTGCATACTGGCCATGGCCCAATATTTTCCTGTTCAAAGTGAAGGAATACAGGAATATTTCTCTCTAGTGTTACAGAGATAAAAGAGGGTTTTGGCTCACACTGGTCTCATCTTTTGATCAAAATGTTTTTTTCTAAAGGTCAAAAGCTACCTTTAAGGATCTTGGAGAAGATGATTTGGGAATTTACTCTTGTCTCGTTACAGACACTGATGGAGTTTCATCAAGCTACACAATTGATGAGGAAGGTAAAAAAGAATCTCCGTTTAGCATGCTGATTTTGTTTTCACATCTGGTTTTCCTTATCTCTTCTTTCCATAAAGCATGCACACCCATAACAATTATTTTATGACTTTTGCAGAAATGAAACGTCTGCTTGCTCTGAGCCATGAACGCAAATTCCCAAGTAAGTGAATTGAACATGTCTGTAGGGGAAAGGTTTGCATGCATTGGGGTATGTATCACAAAGCTCCTGCCAGCATCAGGTAGGGAATTTTCTACAGCAGTTTCAAATGAAAGCATGTTTTTGAGTTGCAAATCTAAGTTTCCTTTATTTTTTCTCTTTCTTCAAGTACATTTGTGTAGTCTTCATGTTCTTTCTGCTCTGTTGCATGCTACTGTCTAGCATATAATATAATAAGTCTATATATTAAATGGGAAATAAGTATCCCGTCGTGTTCGTTTCTTCTACAGAACAACTTTTTATACTTACTCAGAATACCTAAACTGATTTGAGAAGCTGTAATTCTCTGCCTCTTTACCTTTAATCTAATTGATGTTAATATAAGTTAAATTCAAGACTGATAAAGCAGACAACTGTAGCAAACTCAGCTGTAAAGATCTATACAAACAGCAATTTTCCTTTCGAAATTAATTCCCTCCCTCTCTTCTGTAACACTTGACAATACGAACATCTTTCTTGCTGCTTGGGATGCTATTTTTATTAAGTTCACAGAACTCCTACATCTTTATGTTATCCTGGCAGTAGTGCAACTTTGTTATTTTCAGCAGAACGTAACTTGAATAATTGAAAAAAATAATCAATTAAACAGTAGAATGAATCCTGTTACATGCAACTAGACAAGATCTAAATCTTATCTTCTTCTGCTACATCCCCTTCTTCATTCCCAGCACTAAAACTCTTGCCTATGTTTTAACGTCTTCAACTTTGCGCGTGCGTTGCTGTAAACTCTGCCAATTCAGCCCGCATTCCACCTTTCCAGTCCGGCCAAAGCTTGGCCTCAGAAATTGCCTGTCTTCTTGCCCACATCATCTCTCTTTCTCATTTCCTCCTGTGTCTTCTTCATATCAGCTCTACTCTTCTGAACATATTGTATCACCTTTTGACGGCTTAATAACCGCCAAAGCATCACCTTGTTTACTCCTGCTCCTCCCAGCCTTTTCCTCCTAATTATGTCTTTACACTGAAAGCTAGTCATCACAAGCCCTAATTGCTGCATCACGTCCTTACCTGCTCTGCTGACCCGTCTCTTTTGAGTGCTCTTCCATGCTCTGTATTCATAGTTAATGTCACAATATAAGCTCCTCAGGACACGGACTGTGCCTTTTCTCACATATTGTTAGGTAACAGTACATTTCTAGGTGTGCATGAAGTAGCCAGGAGACACAGGCAAACCCAGAAATTCCTGCAGAATTTATCATAACATTTAAAGAAGAAAACTGTTGTACTTGCTTTGACCCTTCCAGGCCCTGTGGACACCACAAAACTAATCAAGTACAAACAGAGGTTGGGATGTGTCTGGCTATGCCTATGAGGCTGGAAAAATAATAATGAGTGCCTGTCGATCAATATGGAACTTTAGTCGTATCTCTGGATAATCTTTTTGAGGATTACCAAAATTCTCTACAAAAAAATTAGTCATAGGCATTTCTGATTAAACAGAAGCACTTGCCTGTTTGTTCGTTTGTACTTCCGAACTGCGTTTAATTGTAGCTTATGCTTAGAAACGCCTACAGCTGGCACCTTCACTGGAAAATGGGTTGCTTGAATAATCCAGTCTTAGAGAATTCAACTATATGTGAGAGCAATAGAGCAATGGTGTTAGGTCAGAAATAAATCGTTCCAACTCTTCAATTTGGTAATGGTCTGAGAACGTTCTGTCAAGTGCATGAGGTAATTTGGGATGTTGTACCAATAGGATGTAAAACCTTCTAAGCATGATGACTGGAAAATCCCTGAAGCAGCTGTCAGTTGGTGCTTGGGAAAACAGAAGTAAGACTTTTGCTTGCAGAGGACTGTTCGCTCTGATAGTCAGATTCCTTTGGACTTGGGGAGTGTGAAGGATATTTTCGCAAAAGAGAATCCTTTTACATCTTTTCAGCCCTTTCTGCAACAATTTCTGATATACTTTCTCCCTCTCCATTTTAGACTAAGATATTCATAGTTAATTACAGAGAAATCAAGTGATGAGCTTAAAATTGCCATTGAGCTGACAGCGAGACAAGAGCAGCACAGCCTAATATGTATTCACACCCCCTTCCTGTTGCTTCTGCTGGCTCCTGTGGCTTTGAAGTCACTTTGTTTCAAGAAATTATGCCAGATTCCAAATTCCTTTTGTTTCTCATAAGAAAATTGGTTCAGTAGGCGAGGAAGCTTCACATGTACCTTTTGCATGGCTGCGGCACACTCATAATGTGGTTGCTCTTTGCCCTGCTCCTTTTCGGTAGCTCTGTTCCTCCTGACTCCTTTTCAACCATTTTCCTCTCTCTGGTTGTGCCTGCGTCTTTTTCATAATTCCTTTTTTTTCCTGTGACTGTTGTCTTACCTCCTGACAGCCTTTTTCTTACCAGAGACAGGTTCTGTGTCCCTCAAGCATTGAAAGGGTATGGATGAGCGTGGGTAGGCGTGCGTGCGTGGAAGGAGTAAGCGCATGAAGGATGCAGGGAGTCCTCACATGCAGCCACTCACTTTGTTTGGCAGCAGGGTAGAATGGCAGCCGGAAAGCACCTCAGTTGTTTCGGGTGGTGAACATAGAAAGACGAGACAAATTAGTGACTACCTCAGTCCCGGTTCCTTTCCTGCTATAGCTGGGTCGTTGCATACATGAAGTTAATGAAACAACCTGTTCCTGGGATTCATCTGGGAGGAGATGTAGTTTTGCATCAGTCACCAGACTACATAATCAAGCATTTCACAATGTGTTTGCATATCCCCCTCCGCAGCTCGATGTTACTGCCTTGCAACATGGGCTTTACACTGCTGTGAAAGTGGAGATTTGGGCAATGTTCACATACTCCTGAGAGTATGATTTTGTTGAAAATTTGAGCATCCACTAAAATAGCTAAAAGTGATGGAAACCAATACAATGATCAACATGCCCCCAAGTCAGAGTCTAAATGCCCATATTCTGTGATTCTGTGATGTAATGTTCCTGACTGAACTATCTTAACAAAAAGTTGGACTGAAAGCAGGTTCAGGACTTTTACTGACAAGAACAAGGAAAAATGAAAAAAAGCCCTAAAATTTGCTGTGGTATAGCACAATTAATAGTAACTTTTCCTACTTAAGCAAGGAATTGGTCTATATGCCATGGATTTCTCTATTTGTGTGTAAACAAATGTACAGGTGAGATTTATGGTGTATTGCGGTAATAAGTGAGTTCTAGAGATAAAAGTTTCACCCACAGAGGATCAGAGTGCTTAGAAAAATCCCCCAACCTGCAGTTTAGCATTGACTTTCTGATTAGGCTTTATGTTTGTTTGTTTGTTTGCTTGTTTTTTTCCTGCTGGGTCACTTCACTGTCTTATGCCGTACAGACCCATATCATGCTACAGAGCTACTTGTACTCTACCTTCGAAATAGATTTAGCTTCGTATTAGAGTGGAGACACCATGCATAATTCAAATCTTGAACATTTCCAGTCAGTGCAGACCTAGCGACTGCAGGATCAAACAATTAAATCTCATCTGTCATCTGATTTATTTCTGGGTAGAGGGGCATTCTGTATGTATGAAGAGCTATCATAGGTTAGTTACACTGCATACATCTGAGCACGAAGAGAAGACGTGGCTTTCTGATTATAGAGGAAAACAGTTGTTGGGACGCAGATAAAGTATGTATGTGCTTCATTCCTTTCTTTCTTCTGTATAGCTGTCCCACTTGTCTCTGAGTTGGCGGTGGAAATTTTGGAAAAAGGAGAAGTGAGATTCTGGTTGCAAGCTGAAAAACTGTCTGGCAATGCAAAGGCCAACTTTATATTTAATGATAAGGAGATTTTTAATGGAGAGGTAAGCCTTTTCATTCCCAACAGATGTTTGCCTTTTTATGAGCAATGAGTATTAATGTCGCTGTCTCTAATGTGCTTTCAACTAGTGTTCCATTCTAATGCATTTTCATGAGAAGTATCATATGTCACTGGAAACATCACTAGAAAGATTTTGTCCATAATTCTGAGCTACAGCTGAATTCTACTGGTTGCAGTTTATAAAGTGGAATTAAATGACTTCCTGCGACCTCTGTGAGTACCACATACACTGTAAACAAATGGGGACCACAGGAGTTCCTGTAATAAGGTAGTCCCAGGTAAGTAACTACTGTGGTCTCTGAGAAGTCACTGCAGTAGCCCAGATTCATCCTATCTCCTTCATCTATGGCCCTAGTATACACTTACGCTTGGTTCTCACATCTGGACGCTGTTTGTAGGAATTCATTTTATGAAGAGAAAACTCACAGGTGCAGAACCTTCTAGCAGCAGAACTGGTTATTCCCAAAGATGTGACACGACATGCTTTTGTTACACAGTGCGATCGGTTAGAAGACAGGGATAGAGCACTCTACATTAAAGCTTATAAAAATATCGTCATCTCAAAGATAGTATTATTTTGAAGATATGCAAATCTAAGCCTTTCTAATGAAAAAGAATATGATGGTCAGCGTGGAAGAGGAATGACATATACTTACAGCATTAGTAAATGGGCTTCCATCATTAACAGATTTCTTATTTGTTTGGATACATGTTCAGACCTGGTGATAGACATATCAAGAATCCGAATAAAGAAAACAAAGAGTTTTAACTAAAGATGCCATATAATGTTTGCCAAATATTCTCTGATTATGATGTCTATTAATTGTTGCTTTGCTTTCTGTTCCTGAAGAAATACAAAATGAAGATGGACCAGAAGACAGGCCTTGTTGAAATGATTATGGATAAACTTGAGGACAAGGATGAAGGAACTTACACTTTCCAGCTTCAGGATGGAAAAGCAGCCAACCAATCCAGCCTTGTCCTCATTGGCGATGGTAAGCTAATCCACGCTTTGGTTTTTATTGTATAGGCTGGAAGAACAACACCAAGGTTACCTCAGTTGTCCTCTTCACTTGTGTCTGTGTTTTCTTGGTTCTATACTAACAGGAGTTCCAGTGGTTTGTCATGTTACAGCACCTGCCTGCCTCATATAGGACAGAGTCTGTGTGCGAACAGCTATTTGTAAAGTGTCTGGAGAAAGCGGAATTGTTATAGAAATGTAAAATATTGCAGCTTGTCATGGTTTGCTTTTCTACAGCTGCAGTGAAGATTTCCCAGAATAATGAACTGCTGTAAATACCCGCTCATGTCAGCTAGCAGTACATACCCGCACCTCTTTTAGAATTTCAGCTGCTTGCTGGTGCGGCAGTCGTTCTTGTTTTTTCTTCCTACTGAGAGTGAGAAGTGGCTGTATAATTGAAGATAACACTTCATCAGAAGGGACACATGTTAAACTCCTGATGACTGTAAGCTGCTAGATATTTAGTTTAGCTGTAATCAACTTCTGACTCTTTGACATGGTCAGTATTTAGTTTCTGAGGGAAAAACTTGACCCTATGGCAGAATTGTCACTGACCTCCAAGAAAGGAAGAGTTTCACCTAACTGTTATAACAACATTCAGTACTGTAAAAATGACATACTTTTGTTTAGCCTTATTTTTTTTCCTGTTTTTTATCCCTAGTGTTCAAGAAGCTGCAGAACGAAGCAGATTTCCAGAGAAAAGAGTGGCACAGGAAACAAGGTGAGGATATGAATATTCATCAGAATCACATATATGTTATTTTGTTAAGCATAGTAGTATGTTTATATATGTTAATTTGAAATAGATGTTCTTATTCTGTCTGTATAGTTGCTTACCTTCAGAAGGAGATAGAGGAAAAAGATGAACACATTAAAATATAACAGTATTCTTGCAAGAAAAACATATTTGCCTTTGCTTTTGTATTGTGAATACCACTGACGAGTTTTTAAAAAATATATCTGTAATTTCAAACAGGTCCTCATTTTGTGGATAAACTGGGATGGGAAGTTACCAGTGATTGCAACGTGCTGTTGAAATGTAAGGTAAGAGGCAAGAAAAACATTAGAAGTACAGTGTTCAAAAAAGCACTTTGAACCGCCACTGCTTAGATGGGGAGGGAAAGGACTAAAGACATGCCTTTTGCCTTTGTATTTCCTATTACGTATTGGATAGTGACAGGGCCTCTGAAAACACAAAGGCTAATCCTCCTGGTGTGATTGCAGATCATCTGAGACTTAGGGCTGTATCTGTAAAGCAAAAAATAGACCTCAAAGATCAACAGAGGAGAGGACAGTGGCGAAATCCAAGTGATTTGAACTCAGGCATATCTGATAAAAATTGCCAGTATAATCAGAAAGCTCTGTTTTCTTTGCAGAAATACGGTATCTCAACAAACAGCAATACATTGGTTATTCTGTACAGGATTGAAAGAGAGGGTAGAAGAGAAAGAAAAATTCTTCAAGGCAGGGGCTTTTTTATTATTTGGTCAGTGCTTATCACCTTTGGTATTTTGAGACTTGCTAGAGGTGCCTGTGTAGTTTCATAATTCAGGCATTTAACAGAAAGGAGAGACCAAGACAAGGAGTGGGAAGGAAGGAAGGCAACATTTGCTCTAAAGGGATGAAGAACACCTGCCTCCAGGCCACAAAGGTGTTCTCATTTGGTAGCTCTCCGGTGAGCTCTCTGAAGTGAGTTAGGACCAGCGCTTCGGTTCCCTGTGTATCCCGACACGTATCGCAAGCAGGAATAAACACACCAAAACATTTTTGCTTCTGTTTTTTTTCCAGACAAAACATGCTGGCAAATAACTTAAAATTTTTTTTTCAGGTCTATCAGACATCCATGCACCCATGCACCCTTCCATCCATCCGCCCATCCATCCCTCCAGGGACCTGAATAGGCACGAGGGTGCTTTGTGAATTCTGGGACATTCTGATTTGCTGCCTGTTCGTGTGTGTAGAAATCCCCTGGGCAGGATTCAGTGGTTACCTGCACTCCTTGAGGCTGTTCACAGTTCTTTTCTCTCTCTTTTCATCCCTTCAGTTTTCCTTCTTGCATCCTTCATTTTACTAGTGAGGCCTGCAACAACGTCCTTATAGCTCACTGCAGTCAAGCTGTTAAGTTTGCTGCTCTTTTATGCTACCCCAGGATTTAAGTAGGCTAATCTATGCAGTACTAAGTTCATCTGATCAAATGAACAGAATAATAATGATGTGGTTTTCCTCCATTTTAGGTGGCTAATATTAAGAAGGAAACACACATTGTATGGTACAAAGATGACAGGGAGATAATGGTAGATGAAGAACATGACTTTAAAGATGGTGTATGTACTCTGCTGATATCAGAGGTGAGTGACTGTCTTTGTTAGCCCTAAATGAATTGAGATGGAAGATACAATCTAATCTGATAGTTCAGCAGAACAATCAAAATAGGAAGTGGGCTTTAAGAATGGAAACGCTCCCAAGGTGTCTGTACTTTAGCTAAGGCAAATTTCTGTCTTTAACTCTGCTAATTCAGGTTATCAGGAAGTGATGACAAAGGAGATAATAAGCTTGTCACTTCCTTTTCAGATCAGTTTAACAACAGAACGAGACCACATTTATGTTGCCGGAGTTGCATTAGGAAAGTGTTTGTCCCTCGCGGACTTTAGAAAGACCAGTCTCTGCAGTCAGCCGTGAGACTTACCAGAGGGACTTCAGGGCAGCACCCAGCTTTGCTGTGGACTCTGGCCATGACCTGCCTTAACCCCTTAATCCTTCTGCATCTCAATTCCTCTAGCTGCAAAAGGGAAGAAGGGCCAGGGCCCCCCAGTGTTGGGGGCTGCCAGTAGGGCAGAGCTGGTGCTGGCCACCTGGGCCTGTCCCACCGCCCCACGGGACAAAGCGGCTCCCCAGGGCCAGGCTTTGGAGGGCCTCTGCCCATGGCCCTGGTGGGACAGGTGCACCTGGCTGTGCTGGCCAAATGCCCTGGTGAGGCCACAGGCTCAGGGCTCTTCCAAAGAGTTAGTACCTTGTGAGAAAAAGGATTTATTTCAAAGGCTAAATCCAGCTTTTTAAATTCCCATAACAGAAACAGCAGAGGTATCTACAGGGAAATCTAGACTTCTACAGTAACTATTGTGAATGCTTATAAATAAACTTAATAAACTTAATAAATGAATATGTTGAATGTTTTGCTGCTACTGTGTTACAGTTTTCTAAGAAAGATGCTGGAACTTATGAAGTCATATTGAAGGATGACAGAGGAAAGGACTCAAGTGAACTAAAGCTCACGGATGCAGGTTAGAGCCACGTGCTGAGCACTGTAAGCCGTACCAGTTTATAGGGTAACTGCTTGCCCGCGAATGAGTTTTTGGTAATATTGACAAATGCATAAGTCACTTCCAGGTGGTTTTGTTCCTCCTGTGTGTAAGAGTGTCTCATTAGAAAACTGCAGTTTTTCAGTACAAATAACATTTGGATATGGCTTATTGCATTTGGATTATGTGTAATTTTGGGAGAACATTACAAGTAAAGCTAAGCAAAATAACACTTTTCACCAGAGGCACATCAGTAGTAGAAGTCTACAGGTATAAAAGGAAATTACAGAACTATATAATTTTAAAAGCTTTCACATTTTTATTATGTTTTCCCATTCATTTCTTTAGGAGCATTTCCACTCATTGTACTCCCTGTATTTTTAGTATTTCAGTACTATTTATTTTTCCAAGCCAGTGGGGAAAAATTCATGTCCATTATAATGTGTATGGATGGGTTAACATTCCAGCTGAATAGTGTAATTTACAGAGGAAAAAAAAAAGAGAGCGTAGCTCAGTTCAGCTGCAGCAGTATTCGTCAAGGCTATGGTTAAATGAAGTCAGGAAATCATGGAATAACAGGCTGTATTTCTGCATTACTTAGAATTCTAATATGCTTTTCAAGGTAACTCTGATTTCTGTTTGAAACCTGCTGGGGAGAATATTTCAGAGCCAGTACTTGTGCTTTTACTGACACTTTGAGCTGCAGGCAAAGACTTATAGTCTACGGATTTTATTTCCACAGCTTTTGCGGATCTGATGAATGAAGTATGCAGAAGGATTGGTAAGCATTTAATTCTCTTTTCAGATGAATGACTCATTGTGACACTCCATGAATGGCTGCATAAAAACATGTGCTCTTCTTTCAGCTTTATCTGCAACAGACCTGAAAATCCAGAGCACAGCTGAGGGTATTAGACTGTACTCCTTTGTTAATTATTATGTGGAAGATCTGAGAGTAGGCTGGGTGCACAAGTAAGTATGCAAAGGCTTTGCAAAAGTCTAAGTGTTTTTTGCTTTTACAAATTGAACAAAACTTGGATATGTGAGAGCTATTGGGCCCAGTTTTCCTTTCATCTTCTCTTGCACGAGTCCTATTAACTTCAGTGAATCACGCCAGTATGAAACTGGCACAAGAGGTAGGTCTTGGTGGTGCAGGGCCACCATGCTGTCTCCATCATGAGAGCGGTAGTCCCATGCTGTGTGCATGTGTGTGCTTCAGAGCACTTCCCACTTCCCACTTTCCAGATAGGGGCTGCATCTTTGCCTGAATCTGTTTTGAGGAGCCACACAAGTATAAACCACGGATCTGGCAGGCTTTGAAAAAGGCCAGTATTATGGTGCAGAGATATCAAGCCTGGAGGTCTGCTTGTCTAGAGGCTGTAATTCGCAGGACCTGGGACAAACGGGCACATCTTCTTAATGCATGGGTTCGTGTTTAGGAGACGAAGCAAGCTCCAACATATGCCTGGAGCAGTAAAATCCAGACAACCCCCCCTGTGAGAGCTAACAACCTAACCGCAGCAGACAGAAGAACTGAGATTTTTTTACAAGAATTTGAATTCCCAGCTCCCCTTAAAATTAGTGGGAGTTGCATATCCAAATCCATTAGACAGCTTTGCATGCTCAGCCAGAGAGAACAACTAGCACTGGAAAACCTGGAGAAGTAAATGACATAGATCACTTTAAATCCATTATTAATATTACTGCTATTTCACTTCCTGTAGACGTGGTAGTAGTTAGTCTTTAGGATGGAATCCGAATTACTGATCTTTCAACAAAACTGCATGTAAATGAGGCACAGAATACCAAGGATATGTTGTCGCATTCTGGCTATAAATTATAGGAGCTGATGCAAACCAGCAAAGAGCTCAGAGAAGAGAAAGCAGTCTGAGGTTTTCCTGCTGCTTGGCATCCATTTTGACCTGGTATTGCCAGGAGTCTTAAGCATTTCAAAACTGGAAGTGAATATGAAGTAGTCCGGATTTCTCTCTCTCTCCCTTTTCCCTCTCTTCCCCTCTCTCTTTTTTTTTTTTTCTATTTCATTTTTAGAAACTAATTTTATCTTGGAGCACATTGAATTAATCTAGCAAAATTGCTCTAGTATAATTCAAAGTTATCAGTTTAAGGATAAATTATTTGGCAAATATCTTTCCCCTCACCCCGGACAATTAATTGCTGAGCTAGGAAGCTGGAAAACTGGTATTTTTTTGTGGAGGAATATCTTCTTGCACAGACTGATGTCAAAGTATGTTTTTTTGTAAAGGCCAAAGTGTGGCAGGTCATCAAAAGACATTTTAATGGGGCAAACACTATTAATAGCAAAAGTGGTTTTGTTGTAGGTACAGCCACATAGACATAGTCTTGTTTTGCCTGAGCAGAAATAAACCTATGCTAAGAAGAGAACATGAACAAATGTTCATAGATGCATAGATTACTCCTTAGACACCTAGGTCTTAACTTTATATGACTATTTTATGACTCAGAGAATGTACTAAGATGCATCACCTTTCTGCAAACTTTGAGTAAAGCTAGAATTTGAAAAGAAAATTCCGTCCCATGAATTCTGCCACTTTGGTCTTCAGCAAGAATTTGGCTTCAAAATTTTCAAAATATGATGGCATACCATAGCACCTTGGAATTCATTTACTAGCAGCAAATGTACTCAGTAAGTCAACATGAGCAAATCCTATTTATACTCCTGTAAAATGAAAGGATAAATTTTGTTTTGTATTTTTCAGTGATGCCCAGATTAGATATACAGACAGGGTTAAGACTGGTGTCACTGGGGAGCAGATCTGGTTGCAGATCAACGAGCCAACTCCACAAGACAAGGGCAAATATACAATGGAGCTCTTTGATGGTAAAACAGGACACAAAAAGACAGTGGATCTTTCTGGACAAGGTAGGCCATTTAGTCTATTAATATCATCTGTATGTGAGCATTACACTGTGGCAGAATAGGAGCATCTGTAGCAGGATCTTGCTGCAGACCTGTTATCCATTGAGGTGTAGGGTCGCTGTGTGTACCTCGCAGCTCAGCAGCCTGGGAAGAGCATAAATCATTTGCCCCAACATCTGCTCTCAGGTCATAAACTGCAAACCAGGTTTTCCTATACCAAATATCAGCTTGTAGTTTGCCTTAGTGCTGCCCACTGAGATGCCAGCTCACTTTCTGGGACATTTTACAAAAACCCTTGTGTTTCTGGCATTGGCTGGCAATTTTAAATACAAGCTGCAGCACTGAATGACCTCTGTGTCTCACCCTTCCAAGTAGCATTTAGAAGAGGAAGTGAGGGACAAGTTTGTTTCGTTACTTTCCCACTGTACTTCTTTGATGGATACAATAGGGCTACTTATTCTTCAAAGATGTCAAGACTGGTCCTTTTCATCAACATAATGAAGTAATGTTAGGGGAACAGCTGAAATTATTCGGACTGATTTTTGGAAGCTTTTCCTCTGAGAGAGCACTCAGATCCTCGGGAACAGATGAGCCCCTTCTGAAGCACTGATTTTCCGTCCACAGTAGTTGCCATGCACAAAGCTTCACACTGGGTCTGCAAGCTCTGTGTAAGGGAGGGGATAGCTTCAGAATCGGCTTCACACTGCTCCTTCTGTACTCTTTTCCCAGTTTCTGAGAAAAGATATTCCTTCTTCCCATTTGAAGGGGGAGAGGTTTGCAACTTTGGCAGAATTTATGAAAGACAGAACAGTTTGCAATAGCAAACTGGTTTGTTCATGGCTATCAGCGTGATGCTTCAGAGCAGATGTGAAAAATACTTGGAAAAAGTAAATCTCTGGTATCCTCTAATCTGTATCAATGATATTGTACATTATTGGTTTTTTCCAAGTTTTGTGAGGTAATTTCAGCCTATCAGTCCCCTATCTCTTTGTGTTAAAGCCTAACTTCTAGAAGAAAAAATGGGTGTTTATGTGTGCATATGTATATGTAGTAGCTCTCATGCACAAGATTGCCTTTATTAGTTAACTCATTCAGCATTTTAAGGCTTATACCATATCAAAACATGCATCAATACATTAATGTTTCTTTAATGTTTCTACATTTTAAATTTGTCTACATTTTAAATTTAAACTTGTGATGACCCTTCTATGAACCTACCTTTAAAATCAACTTTTCTCTTTACAAAGCATTTGATGAAGCCTTTGCTGAATTCCAGAGATTAAAGTAAGTATTATGTCATCTAAATGCAGTAATGACATTCCTAAAAAACAAAAACTATATTTATGTTTGTTTTGTGTTAGAGCTAAAAATATGCTGTGAAACAAATCCTAGTCCTACAGAAGCCTGTAGGAGTTTCATATTTGAATTCTTTGGTATAATTCTTATATAACATCTTGGTATTAAAGGAAAAACAGTATTGTCAAATGATGAGATTCTCCTTAATTGATCAAAACCAGTTAAAAACAAAAGGTGTTTTTCAGCAACTGTAAGTAAACCTCGAATGAAACCTCTTTTTTTTTCTCTCAACTCCAGGCAAGCTGCAATTGCAGAAAAAAGTAAGTGGGCCTTCTTGGACAATAGTTATGATAAATTGTTTCTAAAGGGGTTTTTTTTCTATCCTCAAGGTTGTATGTTGGGAGAGAGAGAGCATGTATACGTGTGTGTGTGCACATGCACATCCTAATACTCATTTTTCCTAACACCAAGGAGAAGCAAGGGGAGTGACCTTTCAGTGACTTAGCATTATAACATTGCAGCTTTATGACACTAATTATGGGCTATGTTGATTTTTCCAGTTTGAGCTCCTGTTCTCATTACCAGTTAGCTTTCTCTAAAAGTTAGTATTATTGCTGAAATGTCTCATGCATGTTCTCTGCACAAAAGTCACTTTGTTTTGGAAATTGCTGGAGAAAATCGCTCAGCTAGTTTCAAACTATCTAAATTGTTAAATGGCTCTGCAGCACATGTGGAGATGCTGTGGATAAGAAAGCTGTACTAGCTTTTGTATAGCTGAAACCCAGATCTTCGAATCTCTTGATACTTTGGCATTTATAACTGTCAGTTCCAACATAATAAGTATAACAAAAATTATGTATTAATTAATAAGTCGTTAGAAATCAGCTTGAATTATTAAACTCTATCTTCTTCCTATTTGCACAAAAATGCTTGGAAAGTGTAACATCCCAAAAAATTCCCCTACTGCCTATTTCTTTCAGACCTGTATAGAAACGAGGATAGAGTGGGTATAGAGCTGAGCTGACTCCTTGCTGGACATACACTCCAAATAGTGTATGGAAATGTACACCAATCCCTACTAGTCTCAGCTGAGACAACATGAAGGGATCCATAGCACTACCCTAAGCCACTCATTTCTGACTGCGGACCATTCACACAGGGCTAGCATGTTACTTGATGTAATATAGTAGCCTTGTTTCTGATTTCATCAGGTTATTTATTCCAGACCACATATTTTACAGGATGGGGCATTAGCAGCTGTGATGAAGGGAGCACTCTGTGCTCATTTCCTTCCTCTGCCAAGCTCCACCAAGACTTAAAACTAACAAAATCCATATCTCAGAATGAGTACATCAAAGGCTGCATGTACTCAGCTTGGTTTTATTTAGGTAAGATTGCTATAGGACTTTGAAATTAAAGCTGTAGACCAGTTTTTAATCTCATTTACACCCAAATATATCCAAACAAAATGGTGGAATTTCACTGCTGTCACCAAGATTGGAATCTGTCCTTGCATTTAGATCAAAGCCTAATCTCCACTGTTGTTCATTTCTTTTCATAACCAGAGTTTTTGGGTTGTGACATGGAAAATTTAGGGCACCAGATCCTAAAAATTCAGATTCTGTTGCGCAGTCAAAAGTAGCACTGAATTATTGGTGGCAAAATCTGCAGGACACAGCCATGTACTTTAATTTCCCTCAGTAAGTAATTGACGGCCAGTTATTAACACATCTTTTGCAGTGAATTTAATTTATTAACACATCTTTTGCTTTGAATTTAATATTACTTTAAGTCCAAATGGTGCACTAAGAATGCTGAATAATTCTCTCCATGTGCATACACTAGAGACAAGTTGTACGTAAATAAGATAAAAGGAGAGAACTAGAGGGGAAACAAAATCTGGGACAGAGTTGATTTTGAAACATTAAAGAAAATTATGCTCATGTATTTTCAGATCGTGCACGGGTACTTGGAGGTTTGCCCGATGTTGTCACCATCCAGGAAGGCAAGGTACAGTAAATTAACTGAAGCTTTATACAGCAGCCAAACAGCTTGAATGCCTTTCAATAATGGGAAAATATTCACCTTTTTTGAAAGGTTCCATCTTTGATATCTGCTATATTATTTATTCATTTCCTGTCTTCTGTATATAATTCAACAATCTTGGACAGATGGGTTTATGTTTTTAGGGCAGTTTCTTTTCTTAAGTATTAGATAAAAGTGAGATGACAATGCGAGTGAGACAAAAACTTATGTAACCACCTCTTAAAAAATTTATGCGCAGGTTTCACAGTTAGATTTTTGTAGCTGGCTATCAGGGAAGCTTTCATTCCTTTTTTACAAGATAGCTAGTCATAGTAGTTAACTACATAAGCTAGTAGCTTATGCAGTTAACTTTCTCAAGACACAGCAAGACAGTCAGACCTGGAAAGGTTGGGTTTTAAATAGTATAAAACATGTAACCCGTTCTAATTCAATTCTCTTCTAGGCAAAAGGAGAAAGTCTTCTCTATTTCATCAGGGTAAATAGGAAGGAAGTCAAAAGAAGTTACTGATATGACACTGGATTATATTAGTTAGCAGAGTTTAGCCGAAAGATTATCATAAAGCGCTATCAGAGGAATGTGGCTACATTGGTGCTTGAGCACTGAACAAATGACCCAAAAAGTCTTTTCTAATCTAGTAATCATTTCCCAGCGCTCCTCTTCTACAAGATTTTGCATCACAGTACTGAGGCCAAGAAGTGTCTGCTGTTCACTTCCCTTTGGTCAGACACTAGCCACTTCTGTTTAAAATGTGCATGAATGTCGAAATAAGGTGTACGAGTAGAACTGAAACACTGTAACACGACGACTACAGAAAGGCAACTGCCTCATACTTCCTGCTTCAGCTGGCTATAGATCAGCTGGGTCAAAAGCGTTTGATCATAAGCTGGACAGAAGCGTTAAGTATCTAAAGTCTTGGCCTGAATTGCCTCACAATGCAAGATATAACATTGCCGACAGGCAGTGGACAGCAGTAGTTCTGGGAAAATTAAGTATCTTGGCATTTTAAAAAGAAATAACATTTGAGAAGACCTTTCATTAATGGATTTTGCAGTTTATGGGAATGCTGTAGAAATAGGAAGTTCTCAGAAGTACTGAGAATAGAAGTATTGCAACTGCGGAACTGTGGGTGGAAGATACAAAGAAACGGAAAGGATTTGCAGATTTTCTGCTGAAACTGCTTTTGCTTGAAGATGGGATTATCATACAGCTTTGGCTGGGGATAAAATTCAGGTTGTTATTATCAGTTTTAAGCTTTCTGCCAAAGGAGAGTTGAAATAAAGACTGTGTGAGTATGAAAGAGTATGAGCTCACTAAATCAAAATGTGGAGGGTTTATAAAAAAGAGAGACTGTAAAAAATGAGTTGCAAAATTTCACCCAGACACACATTGTCTATGACGGCAAGAACACTTGTGATGTTTGAATAAGTTACTGAAAAACTCCTAGAACTCATTACAAATGTCCTTGACCCTATGTTTTTGGATTCAGTAGCTGATCTTTTGGAGCAACAGAGCAGGACAGAGAGTGATCAGGGAAAACAGTTCTTGTCTGAGTGTAGCTGGCTCATCTGTCTAATGTTTGCATATATGCTGGAGAGAGGGGAATGCAGTTCTCTATATCTGTTGTGTAATTCATCCAAACTGCACAGTCATCAAGGTTTCTGAAAAAGAGTAAATGACGTGGTAGAGGACTGGCAATTGCAAGCTTTGATTCTGAATCCAAGTGTGGCTGTAACTTTAGAGCTATATGAACGGATTGGTATCCCTAGAGAATCCTGTGAATTTCAAGCATTTGCATACCTTAAACTTAAACTTAACACTATGACTGTGATGCTATTTACTGGCTTTTTGCATGGGAGCTAAAGGATATGTGTGAGAATACAGGAACTAGTGTTTATCCAGTGCTAATCAAACAATATTCCAGATGGCCTAAGAAGCTTCCACTGGTAGACATAAATGCTCTTCAGCACTGCGATATAATTGCAAAAGGCTAAATGTCAGTTCGCATTAGGGAGGAATTTGAACTAACAGCAGGTACTAGTAGAAGTTTTGTGTACAGCTGGCCAAATTAACCAGAGTGGCTGTTCTCACCAAGAGCAGCCTGTAACTGGGTAAGGAGGGTTAGAACTCTGACAGACAGGTACTTGCAAACCTAGATGCAACTTGTTACACCCTTCTGCCCACCAATTCTTCACCCTACCCTTCTGCCAGGGGTTGCTGCCCTCATAGCTAGCCTGGAAGAAGGGAGTTTTAATTGATGCATGCGCATCTTAGCCCAAATTGCCCATGAATGCAGGTGTGTGCTAATATGCAAGAGGAACAGCAATACTTGAAATACAATGACAGTGTCGCCTCTGACACCCATACTACTCTTGTGATAGTCTGCAGTGAAAGGCAGAAAAGGTAGCAGGGGGCAGAAAGGTCTGGACTTCCAGCAGCGGGTTGCTCCAAGTGCACACACACCAGTGCCCTGGGTCTGGATTTGTTTGTGCCTTTCTGTGTGGAGCTCTGAAATCCTGGAATCTGGTTCAAAGAGATGAGGACTGCCCAGGGTTTTTGAGGTAGAAGAGATTTCCTGGTAACTTCCACTCACTTACCATGACATCTAGACTGATTTCCAGTCCTTTTGTCCTGACAATCATCAGAGCCAGACAACTACTAGGAAAAGGGAATTTTCTTGACAGGCAAAGTTGCCTCTTTCCACTCAGGAAGAGCAGGACACAATGGTTTGTTCTTTTCACTGGGATAAAGATTTCAGGATGATACAGCATTATAATTAGTGGTTTTTGTGAGTAATAAAGAGATGAACATATCAGCAAACAGTCTCTTGCCCAAAGGACAAAAAATCTAAACCAGATGGGTGCAGTCGCAATAGGCAATCACTTCTCCTTGGCTAAGGATCCATAATCTTGGAATCGCCTTCCAGAAAATGGTAATATAACCAAAGATCTTACCATCAGCACAGGGAATGATAAGATACATCTCTGCACATTAGTAACCAGAAAATAAATAATAAGAGTTAGGAACATCAAAAGAGGAGCACCGATGTCAAACAGGAGCTAGCGATGCAAGGTTAAGCAAAACACAGTTATTTCAAGGAAAGTTTTAGAAGAAAAACGGTTTATCACTGCTCCTGTATCTCTCTGAATTAAGGAAAACTGACACCACATCAAACAGCTAAGGCTTCAATGATGCCACTAATAGAGCTGCCGAAGTCATGGACATCAGCTCATTAAGACTTTTGAGTGGCAATTGGGACTATTCAGTAGTGATCTGTTGCTTATTAGAAAATTAGGACACAATAAAGAAATACTGAGTACTGGAAGGGACCCAGACATAGTGTCTGGCTGAGGCTGAGGCTGAGGCTGAGGCTGAGGGTATGTTTGCATGGAGAGCGTTAAGGAAGAAGGGGAAATGCAAAACCTCTTGTGTTCCCCATGTTTTTCATCTGTTGTATCAGTTCATCTGTTGATGGACTGATACAACAATCAAAACCACATTCACACGAGTGGGCTGTGAGAGAAGGGCTTTAAAAGCCCCACACAGTCACCAACTGTAGCTGCTGCAGGAAATCAGATAGAGGCTATTTCCAACAGGCTTCAACCACCTCACACTCAGAACATGTCTTTGGTACCAAGATATATGTGTTGTTGATGGTGCAAAGACTTCCCCCTCCCTTTTGTTCTTGTTTGAGTCCTAGGGGATGTGGGGTTGATTTGCTTTTGATTTTCTTCTCAGAGGTAGAAGGGTGTATCTCTTCTGTCCCCTCTCCCACCATTACTTCCACTACCAGATATGAAGTAGAGAAGTAGAGGGAAGGTAGCCTGTGCAAGAGATTTCTCATAGTGCATTTTTATCATGAGTTTATATAGGGCTAACAATGGGAGGCTTTTTCAGTTGTCTATTTTTGACATTTTTATCAAGTTCTTTTAAGAAAATAGAGGAGAAACTTGATTCCAGTTCTTCATCTTAGTCCATTCCTCATGTGTCACTGAAGAAATTTTTTCTATAGTAAAAATTCTTTTAAAATCATGTGAGAAAAAGTTAGATTCTACTTTGAATTACAGTTTAAGTTAAGTTAATGTACTATTTAATATTGAGACATAACTGATTCCTTCCTAAACAAAAGTCCATAAAAAGGCCCGTGTAACACTGACGTCCCCTGTAAACTTTCTTTCACATTTGACTCTCTGTGCGATGTCCACTTTCGCAAACTCCTTTAGGGAGATTTCCATGGCATTGTGATGAGGGGAGGGGAAAACAGTTACAGCAAGGAAGGGAGCGTAAACAAGCCTCCAGGACTTTAAGTCTCTCAGGAGAGACAGCAGTTAAATAGGATTACAATATTATAATAAACTAATGCCTTCAGGACCCCCTCTCCCCCCAGGTCTTTGTTTCATAGATCTGTGGTAATCAGACTTCACTCACAAGTGATTTCCTATGAATGATTTTCTTCGTTCTTAAAAGGACGGCATTTGCTCCAAATGTGACAGCCTTAATATTGTGCCTGTATCCTAATTTAATTTTTGATGTAGTACTTTCTTTACTATTCAAGAATTGAGTTGATTATTGATGTTGAAGTCTACAGCATTCTATGAGTTTAAATGTATAAGCGTCTCCCAAACATTAATTTCTTGGTTGACAATGGCAAAGAAAAGAGCAAAATAAAGGAGTTCTGATCATCATGTGCACAACAGGCTTGCTAGTCTGCAGAAGCTATTCATCTGCAAGTGATCTCTCCAGCTGACTTTCTGACAATGAAGAGGCTTCCTTCAGCCAGTTAAAAAGGAATTCAGCACTTAGGAACCTTTCTAATCTCAGAGGGAAATACTTGTATGAGCAGCCAATAAACTGTAAAGCCTGTATCGATTTCACATAAAAATAGTTTTGTAGGAGTGTGTAAAACATAAGTCTGGTGGAAGAGCTGTTGGGGCATAGTTTGGAATGATCCTAAATTAAATAAACTATTCTAGCAACACCTTGTTCTAGTAATTATTAAAAAAAGAAAAAAAAAAAAGGACAGAGAGAGAGATATGCTTTCTTTACTTCTGTGGCAAATTGTGAGCTTAACCTGAACAAATCCATCCGATAACTCTTCAAATTCTTATTTCAGGTCTAATACAAATGCAGATAATATCTAATTTTGTACTAAACAATATGCATGAAGAAAGTCCTACTGGTGGTCCTGAGAGCAGAGAGGAGGCTCCACAAAATATTGAAAGGTTTTAATGGAGTTTTTGAATGAATTGAGTTCCTCCTTTCCTTTATGATAGATAAGACAAAAATTATTGATCACTGATGGTGATATGCAGCCACTTACTAACAGGAGGAAACTAAATGGGGGTCTTTATGGAACATTTGGAGAATTATGCATCAAAACTTGTAGTAAATATTTACTCTTACATATAATGCTTTTGTACTTTTTCTATAGGCACTTAATCTTTCTTGCACTGTCTGGGGAGATCCTACCCCAGAGGTCTCATGGCTGAAGAATGAGAAATCATTTGTATCAGATGCTAATTGCATCCTGAAATTTGAATCCGGAAAAAATGTCAGCTTTACCATTTCTGCTGTGTCCACACTCGACTCTGGGAAGTACAGCGTTGTGGTGAAGAACAAGTATGGCACAGAGACCAGCGATGTTACTGTAAGTGTGTTCATACCTGAGGAAGATGTGGAATCTGAGCAAGAGAAAAAAAAAGAAGATAAGAAAAAGAAAGTGTGAATTTAAGACTAGGAAACAGAAGTGTTGGGGGAGATTTTGGATGAGACACTGACGTAATCTGTGTGCGTAAATTGCCTTCTGCTTTAGCAGGTAGCCTTGGATTTTTCCATTCACTTCACTTGTGTTTCTAGTACACTTACTTGTGCCTAGGAAAACAGGGCCTTTCCTGAATATTTACTAACTCCTAACCTCACAGAATCTAGTTGTGCCTTCTTCAGTCAGGCCAAACGCATGCTGGCCGTAAACTCAAGTCCACAGTTTGATCCTCTTCCTGGAGCATTTAACCAAACAACACAGATGAAAAGGGTGAAGAAGCATTTCAGCAGAGGCAACTAATGAAGTAGATGGAAAGTTAAAGAATGATCAAGGCACTTTTGAGCAGCAGTTTAGATTTGTTCCAACTTTGGTAAGGTAGAATAGATGGAATGTATTAGAAAATTACATAATAGAGAAATTAGTGCTGGGTTTTGTCTACATTAAGGCCCCTTTGTATTGCTGTGTTAATTTAGGGAGGGCTTAATATGGGTGTAATTTACATCCATAAATATTGTTTATTTTGCCCAATTGGGGTAAAAGTACTGTAATATAAGCAAAAATTAGACTCAGGAGGCCAGAATACTAACATGTGAGTGTGTCAGTAAAAATGTATGAACTGTCCTCTATGTTCACAAATAAACGGAATTCACTTTCATTCTATCACAAGTTTGTTTCACTGTGTCTTATTTTACTAGTCACGGCTCTCGTAGTTGTTCACGGTATCTTAGTATATTAACCCTTTCACCGCTGCAGAAACCTCTAGCTTTCCTTTAGATCTATGTTAATCTTCACGGTAGTTTTCACTACAAAGCTCACAGTGGCATCGCTCTGCACATTTCTCTCCAGACCTTCACTGCTTCACATCTCAACTCAGAAAGGTTTTTTTGCAAATTCAGGAACAGAAGTCGTTCTCATGGGATCCAGTGGGCCTGCTCATCAAATTTGATTAAGGGTAATAGATAAGTACTTTGTTAGACTGAGACTTCAGTTAGTTAATTGCATCCAAAACTAGCACCGGATATGAGAAAAAACATATTTCTTAAATAACTTTTGTGGCTACAGAAAGAACCTTTGCTGGAAAGTAGGAAAAAAAAATATTGAGGTTTTTTTTTCAGAAAAAATGTCTCAGAACAACTAGTCCAGATCTTTGATCTCTCCTGTTTTCTTCTTGCTTAGAGAGATAAATACTCCATGTCAGCAATTTTACAACAGTGCTGCTGATTATTGTCAGTGCAGAATGCAGCCCATCCTGTTGGATCTCTAAGCAGTTATCAACCCTATTGCTGATTAGGAGAATCATGTGCCAGGGAAACATTGATTTTTTTTCAGAACTGCTCTCACCACAGCACAATTCTTTGCATCAAAACAAGAAGAACTAATGTGTATCTATTCCATGTTTTATGTAAGCCTGATCTGTGTGCACCTTTCACACACCTTCTCTTGTCATTTTTAACTATTATGATGGCAAAAATCCTGCTTTTTCTTAGGCATTCATCTTGCTGCAATATTGGCATTTCCGTGAGGATCACACTAGTAAGAGCTGCACAGCTAAGGCTTGGTTTAATCCTTGCCATCTGAGGCTCACAGCCAGCTGTATCTAATGTGAAAGGCCTCATGGATGAAAGAGGGAATGCTTAATCTCTCGTCCATGCAAAATTAAGATTTGGATTTTGCTGGTGTTGTGTTTAAAATGAAGTCTGTGTCTTTTCAAAACAGTTAGAGTACTGAAATACATGCACTACAAAGCCAAAACCTATCTGAGCCCAGATTTCCTCAAAAAAAATACAGAAACTAAAAAATTCAGCAGTTTTCAGTTGAACAAAGGCTGGTGTGTGGTTGATTCAAAGCTGCTAAGAAATCAACCGAAATCTTGCTTGAGTCTTTCCTTTCTGTCTTGTTTGTGCTCAAAACACAAGTGAAACATCCCGCATGTAAAGCCCTCACAGATCAGGACCCCCTAAGAAAGAACAAAAACCTCGGTGAAACAGAATCAGCAAGTTTTGCACGGCTCAGATAACAATAGACTCAACATTATTATCAATGCTGAAGGTGGTGATTTTCCCAATTTTTGAATAGAGTTCTTTGATCAATTTCTGTAAAAGGTTAGTGGTTATGATCTTAACCATTCAAAAATATATTTTTGTAATAACTACAGTAAATGCTTTTCAATTGCAAAGCTGGTAACAGCCAGATTTAAATCAAACTTCTGACCTACCAAAACATGCTAGGATGTCCTTAACTTCATGTATGAATAGTACCACTCGTTTCAAAGGACATATTACATTTATCTGGCATAAATTGCATTTTTTTTACAGAACGGATTTCACATTAGTGTGATTTTTAACATGAAATTATGTGAAACTAATGCATTTTCAGCATTTCACATAAATATGTGAAATGTATATGTGCTAAGTATATGTGCTAAGTTTCCATGTGGTCCTACCTGCTAAAATATTCCAACCTCAAATATCAATCCCAACGCGATTACTACAATTGCAAGGTTTAAGCGTGTAATTATGCACATTAATGATTCATAGTCTCAGTTATAAAATTAGTTCAGACTTTTTTTTAGTAACAACAACTGTGTATTAGACAAAGTAAAAATGCTTCTTAATTTTAATTTTCAAAATACGAGGATATTAGTAATTTAAGATACACCACACTTTCTGAGTTTAAAGAACAACTGTTGTCAAATTATTTGATAACCTCACTTAGTATGATATTAAGCCAACCCAAGCAGGTCCTTCCATCTTGGTCCTAGAATGTTTACTATAAAAGCAACACTATCACATCTATTGTCCATCTTCAAGAGTGCAAACAAGAATATGACTTGCTCCTTGCAATAGCTGATAACTGATCTTTATTATATAGCATTGGCATATTTTTAATAATGATTGTATTTGGCAGCAGTTTGTTACTTCTACTTTATCTTCAAAAATCTGCCCTTCTGCCTCCACCCATTTGGCAGACCTGCAGGGGAATACAACAAATGGCTCACCTCCCAGATAATAGGCAGGATCCTAGTTCTCTTTGCTTCAAGAGATGTATGTGTCCCTGAAATTTAGAATAGCTACTTCTAAGTGTATTGCTGCCAGGGATTTGGTTATGGCAGTTTCAGACAAAATCTGTGATGCATCCACGTTTCTTGCCTGTGCATTTTTTGTTCTTACTTTGCTTCAGGTGATTGTGATTCCTATGTCAGGACAGATTGACATGGCTAAGCATGCTCTTAATGTTCAAGGACATAATCAAAATAATGTAACTGTAGCTAAAAAGAAAACATCAACTACAACAAACAAACGGGAGAAAGAAGGGAAAAAGAAAGGTAAGAACACTTTCACTTTTATGGACTGCTTCTCCAAGAAAAAGACTGTTAAACATTATGCAGGTAATAGTCTGTACAGATCATTACCTCTAAGGTCCCAAACAATCAAATTTATGGTATTCCCTTAATCCACAACAAATGCAAAGCACAAATTGCCTGGCTAAACCTCAGTGAAAAATTTAAATCAATGCTTTTAAATCACCATTTCACTGGGCTATGAGTTTTCACCTTGGCTCAGCTGAATAATGAAAATTTAAGAAGCCATAATAACACTGTCAGATTTCTGAATCCAGAGGAAGGAGTTCCTGACCATGTATACATACACAGATCGAGTGATTTTCCAAAGTAAGGCTCATTTCAGCTGCTAGACATTTGACACTTTCAAAAAAAAAAAAAAAAAGGCTTTGCTAATTGGGGAATCGTAAGTGTCAAAGCATTCTAGAAAACCTTGGCTATGTAGCTACTATGCAAGATAAATCAATTATTCTCTCTTATTTTTACATCTATGCTGAATGGTAAAGTTGAAATTACAGGTGACCATTTTTCTGCCCCATTTAGAGAAAGGAGAGGAAAAAGAAAAACTCTCTAGTGTTTCAGCATTCTTGTATATTACAGAGTTTGACTGCTTTTTTTTAGACTCTTACTGTATAATTACTACTTGGACACTGATTTATTCTCTACAATTACAATTCCCTCTTCCAGAGCATTTTAGCTCCAAATAAGGCTAAAATCTCAGCACTTTCAGTACATCTGTTTTATGTATCTTTGCCCAACTCAGTATTTTTAATTTGTATACAGGGTATGTATGTGCTATATCATTGCTGACAGACCATATTATTCCCCCGCCGCCTTCTCCTAAGGCAATACGAAATATCTAACTACACTTCTTTCCTCTCTTGCCTTACTGGCATGGGTAACTGGACATTTCTGAGCAGTCCTGTAAATGTGATGACTTACACAAGAAACAACTATTTATGTGTGTAAATATTCACAGGTTTGATCCACTAATCTCTTGAATCAGAGATCACAAAGACCTGGGCTTGCTTTTGGTTCTATGAAAAATAGTAACATAATTTGTAATGCTGAATCTCTCTAAATGGTATGGAAAGAGGAAAAGAACATAGTAAGGTCATGACCAATGCTAAAGCCAAAGCTTAGTCTACGTACCTCTGTGTTATGCTTAGCGTAGTAAATACGAGCAATTTTATTACTTCTCCTAAATCAGATTTTATTAAGCCACATGTAGAAGAAATTATTGCCACAGAAGAGATACCTGATCCAAATGAAATCCATACAGTGGCAACAGAAAAGGACACAGAAACCAGCCAGCAAGCAGCAAAGGAGACTGATGGGAAGACTACGGTAGCAGAGGTCACTCTTTAGCCCACAGAAAGCTTGGACAGGGAGGGGAAGAAAGCCCAGAAAAAGAGCCTTAAGTAAAATTATGCTGTACTCGAAGGAAAAATGTGATCTTGTTATGATTCAGATGATAAGTTCAAGCTAGAATTTCATGGGTTGTAAACTAGCCGTACTATTTAAAAAAATAAATACAATTTTTGTGTTAACATTTGTAATAGCTTCACAACTTTAAATGTATAGTAGATGTGCATTTCTTGGATTAACAGATTAACTGTACTGCATTCATTTATAAGTGTCCTGATAATTACCTTTGTATTGAAACATGACGGAAATCTCCATGTATTGAAACCTCCATGAGAAGCAGAGGTTATTGGAATAAGTCTTGACAAAAACTGACATATTTACTATTCTGTAAACAATGTTGATATCATTTACTTATGTGGATCTAATCCTCAATGTACGTAGGTCATCATAGTCTGAGGCAGGCCCCCCCTTATTTTTTCAAGTAAACGATACATTTAATCCTCTTAACGCCACGTGGGCTGCACTTTTCACCATGGCTAATGTGGCCACAGGGAAGATCTCCAGAACAGCAGCATCTCCTATGGCTGCGGGGAGGCCACAGAGGTGGTCCATGCCGGTGATCCAGGTTTCTTTCATCCACACTTGCTTGCAGTAGATCAGGTTGGGCTGATGTCTGGCCACTTCTTACCACCAAGACTCACATGACTGCTGTTCAGTCCTTTAAACTTCATTAATTCCCTCCCAGCTTTGGTGAGTTAGCGTGGATATAGCTCTAATCCACAAAGTATCAGTTGGTCCAAATGCTCACTTCTCTAAACTCCTTTTGCTACAGCAGTCGTATTTCTGCTTTCAAGACCTGTCCAACCCATTATCCTTCTTCCCTCATTGACTCAGACCACCACTGAAACAACCACCCCTTCTCGCTATCACT